GTTCACACTTCGTGCTTGTATGGAAACTCTGTCATTCTTGACGCGGTTCTTCCCCCTTCAGCCTGCTCTCTGGGTGTTTGTATATTGGATAGTAACACATCTTGTTCCCTTTTCTTCATTTCTCTTAAAATAATAAAATAAAAGTCACCCTCCTAAGGCTTTAAAATAAATATTTCCCCACACATTTCAACACATGTTATTTCTGTTCATAAGTCTTAACTAAGGTTAGGTTTTTTATTAATCCAATGTGACCTAAAATTTTTGCATTAAACAGCACAATGTGGAATTGGGCTTATTCTCTTTGGCTACAGATAAAGCCATCATTTTGAAAATGGCTCTTTCTGACAAAAAGGTGTTCTTTTGAAATAAAGTCTTATTCACTACATTCCTCTTAGAGTTAATGTGAATTTTAGTGCCTCTAATTTTAGATTGAAAGTGAAGTCTAGAATAAAATCCACCAGCTGACAATTGAATTTATAGATAGTTGTGAATATTTCAGGCTTGAATAATAGAGCTGTAGAATTTCAGAGACAGAGAGGGAGAGAATTAAGGCTTGCTGTAGTTTTAGGTTATAATGTAATGGTGTCTAGGAAGTGTTGAATGGAACGAGATAAGTAGTAATTAGGAGACAACTGTGTTTAGAGACTGTGCCTAGACCTCAGTCCAAGCCCTGGCGAGGGTGACTCTACAGGACAGACCTGTCACCAGGGTGGGGAGGCCATCAGCTGCTTCCCATGGGCACGTGACCTGTGGCGTAACTGGAGAGGCACATCCAGCCTACCGCTGTGTGTACCACCTCGGCCACCTGCACCTCATCACATCTGAACACGTGAATTGACACTGTCCAGGTCTCTGATATCGTCAAAACTTTTCCCCTGCAGGCTCGGGAGTCAGAGCTGAGTTTAAACGCCACCCCCCTCCCCCCTCCATCGCTTCCTTGCCATAGGATTCCAGCAAGTTTGGGGGACATTCTGATGTCTGTTTCCGACAGAAATTTCTCCTGCACAAGATTGTTGGGGGGGGGGGTGCATTATATGAAATAGTAAACTGCTGAGCTGGGTTGGGGGTGTGTGGTGAGCACATGGTAAGCTTTAGTGTGTCAGCATTTCCACAGGACAGAAGTTTCAACAGAGGAAGCAGTTTCTGCTAGAAAGCTTAAGGCGAAAGTCACTTGGTTCACTCTCATTTACTGTCCAAGCAACCAGGCAGGGTTAGATCTTGCCTCTGTTCCAGGGACTGGGTCGCGTGCATCCGAGTTATTGTGCTGTTATGGGATGACATGTTAGATGAGACAGCTGGTCGGAGATGCTCCCATTTTTAATAACAGGAATTTTAACAACACACATTTTTATTAAAATTTTATCATTGTTAAATAAAATATTTATTTTTTTATTGGAAAGGCAAAGATACAGAGAGGAGAGACAGAAAAATCTTCCATCTGCTGGTTCACTCTCTAAGAGGTTGCCATGGCCAGAGCTGAGCTGCTCAAAAGCCAGAAGCCAGGAGCTTCTTCCAGGTCTCCCACGTTCATGGTTGTTCCCAAGGCTTTGGACCATGCTCCACTTTTTTCCCAGGTCATAAGCAGAGAGCTGGTTGAGAATTGGAGCAACCAGGACATGAACCGTGCACATATGGGATCCTAATGGTAACAAGGCAAGGATTTAGTTTCTGGGCCATCACACAGGGCCCAACAACACACATTTGACACATAAACATTTGGTGGCTTAGCAAATTATTCCAAAAAATAAGAATATCATTTCTGGTTTTCTTCCTTACAATTATAAGTTAGGCAAGTCATAAAAAAAAACAAACAAAAGAAACCCCATGAACAAAAGTGCCGGAGTCCAGCTCCAGCTGAGTTCGGAACTTGCGAAGGGTGCGTGGATGAGGCGCAAAGAGGAAAGAAAGAGACGAACCACTAGGACTTTGTGATCATAATGGACCACGCACAAAAGCTGTCCGCTTTATTTATACAAAATCAGTCAAACTCTGGCTCAGACTTTTTACGTCATGACCAAGTGGGTGTTTCTAAGGATAATTCTGCCATTAGTTTTATCTAGAAACAATAGAAGTTCCTGCTAACATTACCTAGAATTTCCTGCTATAATTCTTATCCTACAACTTAATCTTGGGGGTTTTAACTGACCAGAACTTTACTCTGTTAGCTCTACCTTCAGACCAGAGAACGTCTCCCCAAGAGGCCACTGAACTTATCTGGACAATAAGACGTTGGACTTTATGCTAGGTATATGCTTACAATGAAGGAATTTCAACTGAACTTGAAACGCGGTTATGCAGCAAGATGGAGCAATCCACTATGGGAAGAGGGGTGTGGGAGGGGTGGGGGGACTCCCCAGTGCTTATAAAACTGTATCACATAATTAAATGTTAATAATAATAATAAAAAAAAAAGAATGAGGAAAGAATGAAGGCCTAAATCTAGATCCCTTGATTAGCATAGGTTCAATGGGGACAGCCAAGACAGTAGGAATGATAAAGGGCCCCATTTGCAAGACATTGACCTCCAAGCTCAGGCTGAGCAAAAGGTTAACCTCACAGTAGCAAATGCCAGGATGGATTGGAATTCTTCCGCAGGGTGGTCCAGTGTCCATGCAAAAGAAGGTGGAGTTGCATTCAGGTGGTTGTAGAGACATCCGCCGGGTGGGCCCTGCGAAACAGCGGGAAATTCCTTGCAGCCCTGCCTGCAATGGAACACTCTTCACCCCCTCATGTCCCCCACATCTACTGCATGGACCCCAACACAAAAGGGTAAGGAAGAGGAGGAAAACTGGGAAGAAAGTAACTGGTAAGCATAGTCCATAGAGAAAAAGAGGGATGGGGAGGGGAGAGACATAGGGAGGAGAGAAACCAGGGCCAGAAGGAAAACTGGGAACAAACCAGTACAAGCAATTCCCCGGAGGGGTGGCGAAAAGGGACTTGATGGTGTAGGCAGATGGTGAAAGAGTTAATTGTCATCGCTGTGAGAAATTCAGTGCCAGAGGGAGGAGAGTGGAGCAACCATGGTTTAGTACCCTAATAACTTCTAACTGTAGTCTAGGATCATAATGTATGTGCGAGCAGTCCAGTAATTATAAGGTAATAAGTGAAGTGGTGGTGTAAGTGCTCTAAATTAAAAGGAATTCGCAGGGCTGCTGTAAGTCAGTGCCGACCCGCTTTCTTTCAAACGTTGACTTGAGAAAAGTGCTTCGCCCAGAGTGCAAGCAGGGAGACAAGGAGAGCGATCTATTCATTACAACGCTCATTAACAGTGACGGGGACAAGGCAGCAGACGCAGGAGGGACAGGACGCCAGAGTTCAGGCTGGTGAGGGGGGTGCTTTTTCCTTGGACTGGTGCTTAAGCAAATGGCAATGCAAATGAACGGGTAAGAGAGAGAGATCTTTTAGTGACTTTTTTTTTCCCTTCCTACTCACTTTCTTCACTTCTGGTGGTTGCTTGACCTCTGCAAGCAGAGGGAGATAGAACTGAGTCACATTCAAACCTTCACGCTCAGCCTTCTTAGAATATCAGGATGCACGTTCCTGAAATGTCCATGTCCCATCTGCACTGTAAAGTCACCGGACAATGGGGGGTCACCGGGCAATGGGGGTAGGGAACCCTGGAGGAGAGCGCGGAATTTGTGCAGTGGTAACATAATGCTGGACTTATGGGGAACAAGGTAATTTCATCCTTGAATGGCCGCAGCGCAGTGCAAGTCCTATAAACCTACTTCCCACTGGGAAGCCAGTATCTAAGTCCCCTTCTCAACCCTCATCTCTTTCTATTGTGGACCCTCTCCCAGAAGGTTCTAGAGACTTTGCTCAAAGGGTTTTTTGCAATGATGGTTGAATGGAAAGAAAGCAAACCAACTGTATCTTTTCATCTGGTTACCTTTTCAGAAATTCAATCACTGATGGGTTCAACAAAGAAAGGGGGTGACTTGTTTCTTTCAGATATGAGAGAAATAGTATATCCAAGAGGGTCTACCTCATACTTCCTTTTGGGAAGTATGGTGTGAAAGGGCAGCCAGCAAGAGGGAAAAGGAAGGTCCATCAGGGGTCTCATTCTTTTAGCACAGTTCTATTTCTGAATATAAAGAAGCAGATTTATGGACTCACAGTTGTACTGGAGGCTAAAATGACTTTTACTTATTCGTCTCCTAAGCAGTGACAAATCGTACAGGAAGACACGTGCAGGCACATACACACACGTAGATATTTACTCATCAGTGCTGATGCCCACTCACTAAGTTTTGTGGGCTCCAGAAAATAATCCTGAAGTTTGCGCTAGAATTTCATACTTGATGTCTTTCTGTATTGCTAAATGGCTTTGAAATAGAGTCATTCAAATAATATAAAAAAAAAACAACCAAGTGATTGAGGATATGTTCCCTATGTGTTTTAGTCAGATCAATAAAAGACACAGTTATGCTTATGGAAGCATGCTGACAGGCAGTAATTACAGAGGATCATCTGTTCAGTCTGGAAAAAGAAAAGTTTGATTCTGCTTATAATAAAATGATGCTGCATCATGATGAGGCAGGAGAAGGGGAATGAAGATAATTGCAATTTTACAAGTGATTTGGACTTGGCGACGCTCCACCACTTCCAGGGGTAAATTCAGCAGCAGGGCAGTTGATTTAGATATCGACAGTGATTCTCCACAAGAAAGGTAAAATAAAAGCGATGGGACTCTTTAGCGCTTTTGTTTATGGCCTGTCTGGGCCCTTTGATGTAACCCTGTCATGCCCTTATGCTGATTACCTTCTTGTAGAACAAGAGATATTGACTACAGAATGAGTGATGTGTGGTCCCTGGCCCTTGAGATAGCGCTCTCAAAGAGCAGTGTCTGTAACATACGGATTCTTGTATTTTTTTCCCCCTCTCTTTCTAGCCTTCCTTTTTCACTTTCTTTAATCTTTCACCAGCTCTGTATTTCTCCCTCCTTTGTGTGCCGTGGCTGACACTCTCTCCTCTTTCTGTCTGTGTCTCCCTCAATCCAGGCTTCTCTGCAGAATGTCAAACAAAGATCGGCACATTGATTCCAGCTGTTCGTCCTTCATCAAGACGGAACCCTCCAGCCCAGCCTCCCTGACGGACAGCGTCAACCACCACAGCCCTGGTGGCTCTTCAGACGCCAGTGGGAGCTACAGTTCAACCATGAATGGCCATCAGAACGGACTTGACTCACCACCTCTCTACCCTTCTGCTCCTATCCTGGGAGGTAGCGGGCCCGTCAGGAAACTGTATGATGACTGCTCCAGCACCATTGTGGAAGATCCTCAAACAAAGTGTGAATACATGCTCAACTCGATGCCCAAGAGACTGTGTTTAGTGTGTGGCGACATCGCTTCCGGGTACCACTATGGGGTCGCATCTTGCGAAGCCTGCAAAGCGTTCTTCAAGAGGACAATTCAAGGTTAGTCATTGGATTTGGGGATTTCTCCTTTCCAAACTCCCATTCCCCCCTCCCCCCCCATTTCTCTTCAAAGTCAAGTTTTACATTCTTAATTCCACCTGGAGTAGTAAACAATAGTAGACTATAATGAATAGTGGAGGATTTATAGAATAAATCCCTCCCCCAGATATACTCCATGTCCATTAATTCTGCTTTCGCTAATAAGCTCTCGTAATGCAATGATAATAAGCTTTGGGAGCAGTTTTTAAACGTATAGCTATTGTTACAGCAGTGTTTACAGCGACTAAACAAACGCACATTAGATTAATAGTGCCTTCTACTCCTTGGTTCTGTTATTAGAGGCATGGAAGTAAGGAATAAATACTTCAGATCGGTGGTTCACAAGCTTGAGCATGCGTTAAAATCGCCTGGAAATCTTGTTAAAAATGGAGATTCCTCGGTCCCAGATGCAAAGCTTCATGTTTATCAGCTCTTGGGCAGTGATCTGAGGATGCATTTTTTTTTAAAACCAATTTCCACGTGATGGAGATGCGGCCAGTCCGGGGACCACACTCTGAGGACCAACGCTGTAGACGGATCTCATTATCTCTTCATCTTCATTATTTCCCTGTGAGAGGATATACTTTCTATATTATCTTATGCATAAGTTCTTTGTTTTAAAGAAATGTATTTCGTCTATTTGAAAGAGTTACAGAAAGAACTGGGAAGACAGAAAGAGATCTTCTGTACACTGGTTCACTCCCCAAATGGCCATAGCAGCCACACCTGGCACAGCCCCAAGTCAGGACACAGGAGTTTTTCCCATATCTCTCATGTGGCTGCTAGGGCCCCAGAAATTGAGCCACTTCTGCTGCTTTTTTTTTTAAACATATTAATGCCAGCAGTTTTCCCTCCAGATTCTGAGCTACTTGACTATGGGGATGACTGGGGAAAGGAAGGAATTTTGAAAACTTCCTCTGTGATACTTCATGGAAAGCCAAGGTGGTAAATCATTGCCCTATATACCAGGGTTGTCTTCTAGTGTGGTGGTTCTGAAAGTGTCCTGCCTGCCTCAGGTAACCGTTAGTGTTACCTGAAAGTTTGTTAGAAGTGGGCATCCCTGGGCCTCATTCAGGAATAAATTGGAATCTCCAGGCTGGGCTCAGCAGTTGTCCAAGCCCTCTGGGCAGTTGCTGGGCTCACTCAGGTTTGTGAACCCCAGGTTGCTCCGTTCCATGTTGCTGCTGATTTTCCATTTTTATCCCATCGTAGTCATCTAATAGCCCCTTGTTAGACCTGATGAAACTCATTTTGTTTGGATCTGTAATAACTTTGTCATATACTGATTCTTTAAATAAAAACAGATGTTTTTTGAGTTTTAATGCTCATATACTTTAACAAAAGCTGATGCTGACATCATGTAAGTGCACATAGAGTAGTCCGCCACCCTGCCCTTCTCTGAGTTTCTGGCAGTGCTGTTCCTTCTTGCACTGGGGATTGTGGGGATTATCCTGGTGGCTTAGGTCTTCTCATCTGCACCTTGATTTTCTGCAGCCAGTGGAATAGCTTCATTGGTTGTATGGCTGATGAAGACACAGGTAAAAAGGTTTTCTTGCAGCACTCTGTTTTTGAGGTTGGGTATTGGATGTAGTGATTAAGATGCTGAGGTTCCATATTTGATATTAGAATTCCAGGTGTCAAGTCTTGGCAGAGCTTGGCTTCCAGTTTTCTGCTCATTTTCACCCCAGGAGGCAGCGGGTGATAGCTCAAGTAACTGAGTTTGTCCTGCTCCTCTGAGAAACCTGGCGTATGTTTCTGGCTCCCAGCTTTGTCCCTGGTCTGGTCCTAACCACTGTGAGCATTTGGGACGTGTGTCAGTGGCTAGGACCTCTGCCTGTGTGTCTCTTAGACTCTCAAGTAAGTAAGTAAGAAAATAAAACAATAACTAAAACATATTTAGAAGTGCACACAATTTTCCAAGACATCATTATTCCTTAATGTAACAGATACTTAAGCCTAAACTTTTCAAACCTTTAGAAGACGTAATTCTGATGGAGAAACACAAAGCCAAGTTAGTATGGAATGCATGTGGAATCCATGAATATTGTAATATATGCATATTCATATTTTATGGTTTATCATGGCCATATCTTATTAGTGTTTTCTCATGAACATCTCTCATCCACTTGTCCTTGCCTATATGTGAAAGGAATTAGCAACGAGTGGAATCCTGAAAGATAAAATGATATGCATTCCACGTACAATGAGAAAGTTAAGAGTATTCTAAGTTGAAAGTTTTGTATCACTTTGGATACTTTGACAGATCCCCTCTGCCTGGATGGTAGCATTGTGAGACTCAGGGATGAAAACACACCTCGCATCTCTGGGTTGCGACTTGCCAGAGTTCAACAGTCCTATAATCCCTACGGCTGCAAAGTATATACAATTTAAACTGTTGGTAGTAATTTGATTCTGTTAACTTGGTATACGCAGCTCTGAGACTAACTACACAAAGATAAGCAAATATTTTGGGATAAATTAACAAGTACGGGGTATGCTAATACGAGCAAGAATCTCTCACTGCGAACATCAGTCCCATTTACTCAACAAATATTGAACGAACACCTACTGTGAGTCAGGCAGTGCTGCCTTGAATTTTTTTCTTCTCTGCATTTTACTGAAGCTTTGTTTCTGAACATGGTGCATTCAGGCAAATTCCTTCTACAAATGTATTCTTGCCTTAAGGAAATACCAAATTTTTTAGGGGGGATTATACTCTTAATCCATTAGCACATCCAATAAAAATAGATTAACTATGGGAGAAAGAAAATCCTGGTAATTGTTAAAATAAACCAGCAGTATATTCTCAATATTAATCACCCTGCCATGGTTATTTGCAGAGCAATAATTAGAAGCGAACAACTGGAATTCTGTGCTTGACTGCTATTTTTTTGTTTTAGGAATCTGTGATGCTCCCAGCAGCACAACAGAGCAAAGCACAGGGTGATTCTTGGCATTGATGCATGCTGCTCAGTTTCCCTCCATATTGGAGAGAGTGAGTTTCAAGGATTTTTGAGCAGGAGACAGAGATGTCACTGTCCAGATTAGCACTCTGGACTTGTCCACCTGGCTGTGTTTGTAGCTGGCAGCTGGGCAGCCCTCCGAGATGCTACCCCGCTAGCTGCATCATCAGGCATCACACTGTGGTGCACATTTAGCCCCAAAAAGGCAGTGAGGCAAATAAAGGGATTAAATTGTGAAAATGCAATGTAGTAATTAGTGTGGTAATTGTAAGGAAGATTGGAGCGTCCCCTCCTTTCTGAAGCCAAATAGTGAGAGTGATTGAACATCAAAGATGGTGAAAGTGGCCTGAACGTTTAGTAACCATCAGAGACTCTTTGACCACGGAATCCACTTTGGTGGCTTCAGGCAGCATTGGCAACACAGCCAAACTCTCCTCCACAGAGCATGCCCTCCATCCTTTCCACCCCAGCTCTCCAGGGAGTGAGCAGAGATTGCGTGTGACGCCCCTTCAGAACGCGTCTTCCTACTGTCTCACCACCCTCATGGCCAGGGCATGCGGTGTGACTTCAGCCTCACCATGGCTTGACTCGAGTCTCGTTGATTTCACTAAGGGATGATGTGTGCAAGCATAGACATGTTCATGTGCAATGGTCCCTCTGGAGGGTGTTACTTCTTATTTTGATTACTTTTACAGTACACTATTATATGAATGATAGGTGTGACATGAAGAAATTGTGAAGTAGCCTAGTAGCTAAATTCCTCATCTTTTTAAAAAACATTTATTTATTTGTGTTGGAAAATCAGATATACAGAGAGGAGGTGAGACAGAGAGGAAGATCTTCCATCCTCTGATTCACTTCCCAACTGCCCACAGCAGCAGAAGCTGAGCTGATCCCAATCAAGGAGCCAGGAGCCTCCTCTGTATCTCCTACATGGGTGCAGGATCTGAAGGCTTTGGGCTGTCCTCTATTGCTTTCCAAGGCCACAAAACAGGGAGCTGGATGGGAAGTGGAGCCTCCAGGATTAGAACCAGTGGCCATATGGGATGCCAGTGTATATAAGGTGAACACTTTAGCTGTTAGGCTACTGGGTAAGGCCCTAAAATCCTCAACTTTCATGCCCTAGAATCCCATATGGGCAACGGTTTGTATCCTGGCTGCTCTACTTCCCATCCAGCTTCCTTCTTGTGGACTGGGAAGGCAGTAGAGGATGGTCACCCACATGGGAGACTCAGCAGCTCCTTGCTTGCTCCTGACCATTGGGACCGTCTGGGGAGTGAACCAGCAGACAGAAGATATTTATCTCTGTCTCTCCTTCTCCCTGTAAATCTGGCTTTCCAATCAAAATAAATAAATCTTAAAAAAAAAAAAAACAGAAGAAATTCAGCTGTTTCTTAAACGTGTAGCCCTGAGCATATAGCTTGAAAACAGTAATGAGATTTGTTCTTCTTGAAGATGAATGTGGTGTTTCAGTTGTGAAAGGCAGTTAATCATAAATTTCAGTGAATCTCAATCATAAGGTATTTTTTTTAATATTTTGAGTTACACTTTTTTTTAAAAGATTTATTTTTATTATTTTTTTATTGGAAAGGCAGATATACAGAGAGGAGAGGCAGAGAGGAAGATCTTCCGTCCGATGATTCACACCCAAGTGAGCGCAATGGGCCGATACTATGCTGATCCGAAGCCAGGAGCCTCTTCCGGGTCTCCCACGCGGGTGCAGGGTCCCAAAGCTTTGGGCCGTCCTCGACTGCTTTCCTGGGCCACAGGCAGGGAGCTGGAAGGGAAGCGGGGCTGCCGGGATTAGAACCGGCGCCCATATGGGATCCCGGGTGTGCAAGGTGAGGACCTTAACCACTTGGGCCACCGCGCCGGGCCCCATAAGGTATTTTATTTATTGAAAGTTTCCAAGTTATCATGCTTGAGGCCAGAACTCAATAGAAGTTGAGATTTTTTTAAAAAAAATTTTATTTATTTTTAAAGATCTAAATGTATTTT